GAGGGAGCCAAACCGAACCTAGCATTTTTGGCCCGGTTGGATTTGTTATCAGCGTGTATTTCCAAAGAACTGACCTAATTTGAATGGATGTTCGGTTGACGCTTCTAAGGGTGAGACTGACCCAACCCACCGATATCCACCCTACAAGTGGTTAATTATGAAGTGAAAGCATATCCATATATCAACATTCAAGATCTGCCTGACTTTCTCGACTTTTGCTTGATCGACGGACTTATCCGGAACATGGACTGACGAACCGCTCTTTTCACTTTTCCAATAATCACACAGCGGAATATCCAAGTGAACACCAATGAAAGTAAGACAACATAATTATCATTGTGATAAGCACATAAAAAATAAATTTAACTTGAAATTAATGTCTATATGGTCTTTGAAAATACCTGTAGGATGTCTATATGCGCCTAGAGGGTGTTAATAGGCCAATTTAAGATTATAATCAATAAACAAAAAATAAACTTTGGCAGCAGGATTTATATGGCTTATCAATCCTGAAACGTGCTGGAAATACTGGTCACGATTGCTTCAAGCTCACCGGAGGATGAACGCCACAACAGTCTTGATGCCCTCAACCATATGAGTCACAAACATGTATATGTATGCAATATGAATGATTAAAGTGTTTGATAAATCACCAAATAAACATGGAACACTTGATGATTTATCTCAAATCTATGCACAACAGCTTAGTAGGAATTTTAGATGCTCAACCAAAAATATAAAAGCTGTGTACCCAAAGAGAGGCAAGCCATGGTTTGTTATATGGACATATTCTCCTATTTGCAAGAGAAGTCCACCAACCACGTGATCAATCTCTTGCAATGGATGAGATTTGATTCTTAGAATCCTATTTGAAGTTCCCAGCTTATGCTCTATTACCAATACCTTTTATTCCAATCAATCCTTATACAATGAAACTACCTATAACAAGATTGACACAATGAAACCAATAAAACGTGCTATCCAACTCAAGAATAATGAAAACATAATATTTTAACTTAAAATCAAAATAGAGTCCAACTAGGAAAGAATCTCAAGAGATAAATCTAATCCTATTAAAAATAAGATTAACATAAAAATATTTGAGTGAAAATAATTCCAACTAGGAATCCTATAATGAATGCATGATTATGTCATGATTTACCTGTTGTCAAGTTTCTCATATGGTCAAGTCGTGCCTCGGAAGTATGTGGTTGAATGAGTTGTGCCAAAACGTCCAGTAACAATTCCTGACAAACTAATTTTCAACCTATGATAGAGTCTAGGAAATGACAATACAATTTTCATACTAACAGTCTTCCTTTGAAAGATCTATTTTCTCTGTCACAAATATGGGCTTTGGATGTGCCCCATTCTTGCTGGGTCGCTCTTTGAAGTGTTGTTATTTTGTTTTTGGTAGATCTATTGTTGATTGGCGCGTTGGGACCAGAGAGAAGGTGTAGCTTGTGTGACCCATGGCCGTGTACACAGTGATGTGAGTGTGCGGATCTCTGATGACGATGTACACGATGACGAGTTGCCAATGATGGCGATTGGGATTCTAGTTTAGCTTCGGTTATAGGCATCTTCCGTTCCATGGCCACATCCTCTCAGTATAGGGCATTGTTTTTCTTCATTGTTTTTTCCTTTTGATTAGGAAGTTGCTCGTGAGTTCCCAGAAACAAAACCATTAGGGCAGAGAGGGGGGCCCAAAGCGGACAATATCATGCCACGGCGGAGCCGATCCTGGATGTGACAATTTGGTATCATAGTCACTCTGCCATGTGGTGCGATTGTGCTGACGAGGACGTCGGGCCCTTAAGGGGGGGTGAATTGTAACATCCCACATTGACCAACAAAGAAGGGGTGATGTGCCTTATATGTACATACCTGCCTTCATCTAGCACGAGGCCTTTTGGGAGCTCACTGGCTTCGGATTCATGGGAACTCCGAAGTTAAGCGAGTTGGGGCTAAAGCAATCCCAAGATGGGTGACTCACTGGGAAGTTGCTCGTGAGTTCCCAGAAACAAAACCGTGAGGACAGAGAGGGGGTCCCAAAGCGGACAATATTGTGCTATGGCGGAGCCGATCCGGGAAGTGACAAAGAGCCCCTAGGAAAGTAGGAAAAGAGGGAGAGGGGATGAGATTGAGGGAAAAAGATAGGAAAATAGGAGATGAGGGGAGATGATAGGCAAAGGGGAGGAGGGGCAGTGGCTACCTCCCCTAGCTTAGGAAAGGGTGGTTATCGGCAAGGAGAAAGACGGAGGGTTTCAACTAGGGTTTACTTTGCTATCTCTTTGCGTAGCAATAAATCACCTACCGTTGGAGTTATATAAAATCTAATTGCAAGTCCTAGAACTCCCAAAATCAGATCTAATCGTGGCTTAATTAGCATCTATATGGTCATAAACATATGAAAATCATGGGTATTGAAAAATGATAATGATATATCAAATCTCCTAAAATCATCTTTGTCAGTAAAGAAGTTTCAACGTTCAACAATTGAAGATAAGGGTAACAATTTAATTCATTAATGATAAGAGCATTTTAATGCATACTTGTCTTCCCTAAAATTAATCTTGCTAGCATTTTATTTAGCTTACTTTGTATTAATTATGTTGTTTTTGTCAATTGGGGTGTTTGGAAGATTTCAATAAGAAATAAGGATATTTTGGTGCTTATTATTCTTGAATTTGCACACGGTAGCAACTTTGGGGAGCCAGCAGCTACAGGAAACAATTCATGTGTGCAGCGAATGAAAGGCAATAGGAATTAAAAAAGATTGCAACACTTGCTACACCTTCTGACCAATGTAAAAAGATAAAGTTCTAGTTTTTATCTTTTAATTCCCAACTACTATATTCTTCAATGTTTATAATTTCGGCTTCACATGATTAATAAATTAATTTTCTTTTCACCACTTCTATAATGTATTTGTGGTAGTTAAGAATTTAAGTTAATCTATTAATGCATCCTTGATTTTGTATTACTAACTACAAATTTATTTGATCATTTGTAGTTAAATAATCTTTTTCACATAGGATACTCAGAATTTGTACTTATGAAGGGAAGGAGAATTTATATAAAATTCATTAAAATGCATGCTTAATTGATATATCTTGAGAAAGCAGTAGATTGATTTCTTGATTGCTACTCCATAAGAATTGTTAGATAAATAATTAGAGTTTTATGGAATAATGGCGTGGAATCTAAAACTTTAGTTATTTTTCTCATTCATTTAATCCATATTCTAGTTCATTTGCATTTTCAATTTTTATGCTTTATTTAATTTTCTTTTCAACCAACAAATCAACTAGGTTAGCAATTGAATTAACTTGGGTTGGATTAGTTTTCCATCATTTTCACACACTCCCTATGGGAACGACCTCGCACTTACACACGCCTAATCTACAGTCGATTTGTGCGCTTGCGAGTATTATAAATTTAAAACAACACATTCAGGTGGACAACAAGTTTAAAGTATTCATAAAATAAAGTAGCATTATTTATAGAGAGCCAATATGAGTTCTTTCTCTCTTCTCAAATTTAGGAGCTCCTAGAGGTCTCCCTATTTTATCATGTGGATAAGGAGCATGATTGGAGTTGTATTTTTCTTATTCCTTTTTAAAATTTGTCTAAATATGTGATTTAGGGGGGACGGGATTTGTTATCCCCAATTTTCATGTCCCATTGTATCCCTTCTCTAAAATTTTAACACATGTCTAAATAATTGAAGTTGATGACGGCGCAGGCACGGTCCTACACCCAGGCTAACCTGGGCTGTAGCCTAGGTGAGTTTATTTGTTGTAGGCTAAAATAATACCACAGTCCAGCCCACTTGACATCCCCATTCCAGCCAATTAAAATCCCATTAAGAAACCTACCCCGCATGTCTTACCAATAAGTTAATAACAATAAAAAAAAATTAAAACTAACCCCACACACAAATAAAATCTCATTAACAGACATCCACTACACCACGTCTCACTAATAAAAGATACAAACTAACCCCAAACGGGATTTACAATTGAGACTTATGAATTATCAATTAGGGATTTTGTTAGTTTATATGTTTACATCTTCTATATATTATTCAATAGGTTATACTTTATATAAGTGTTATTTGTATTTGTATTTTGCATTAGATGCATTTTGAGGAGTAAGACTCATTATGTTCCCCGTGTATTTTTTTGTTATCAATGAAATTCAATCTTACTGTCGAGTTTTCTATAGGTTTGTATGTAAGGTAAATTTAGCCTATGCCACTTTGAAATCCTGGGTCCGTCCCTGTGACGGCGGAAGAAAACGTAAGCACCTTTGAAATTGCAACAAAAGCGTACTGCAGATTTTTCTTCCTAGAATATTTGAAATGTATTGTCATGGAAACATATAGAAAAAGAAAAATAGATGAAAAATTTGGGATTTTCTGTTGGGTTAGTGATTTTGATTAGAGAAGGAACACAAGGGGATCCGTCCCGGTTTAGGGAGCTCGCATTTTCCTTACTTCCAAGGCCCAACCTCACTATTTCATCTTTTGACGGACAAGTAATTATATTACAATTCACGTACCTAGTTATACGTCTTTTAATTTGATTTTTTTCCTCTACTGATTCAGTGCTACCGTATATCACACAGACACAGTGTCATTAATAATTTGACGATATTGTACTGATATTTGATAATATCGATCAAATGTCAATAATGTGGTACAAAATATTGTAAATTGTTACCAATTGGTACGAGTATACCAAATTACAACACTTGATACAATGTTATTGATATAATTAAAATTGTACTCTGTCAACAATATTGTACAAAGTATTTGTGTGGCGTCATGTTATTTGCTAAAGATATTTCGAAGAAAATAACAAGGGCATTGCTTTGTAAATCAATGATCTCAAGTTCGAACCTAAAGGCACATTTGTAGTATGTGCGTGAGAAATCCCATCTTTCTTGTAGTTTAGACTATCGCTTAATTGTATTTGAAAAAAATAGAACATAAATTAAAGAGGGAAGAAAAGCGTAGTTTATATATAATAACAACACAAATGACACCGGATGCTTTACATGAGAAGAGCACAGTACTACTGCTATAGTCGTAACCGATCCGTACATCACAGTGACATTATAAGAAATTAAACACACATAACACATCTCTTATTCTACATAATGACGTGAACCTAGCAAGCTAGTCATTCATGCATGCATGATCAGTTTCAGTTGGGAAATGGAGGTTTGTGTGGTGGCTTGTGAGGTGGCTTGACAGGGCCAGTTGGGGGCTTTAGTTTCCTCGGTGGCTTTGATGGGTCTCTTCCACTACCCTCCACCACATTCTGTTCAAGATGGTGATCATGATGTGGTGGCTTGTCTCCCTTGCCCTTAGGAGGCTGATCAACCGGCTTTGGTTCTGGCTTGGGCTCTGGCTTGGGCTCTGGGAATGGCTTGTGCTCATCAAGTGGGGTTGGTGGCTTGGGTTTTGTGGGTGGCTTCGGCTTCTTTCCCTGAGGAGGCAATTTCCCATCCAATGGCTCCTCTAGCAAACGAAATCTGGTGTCTTGTTTGTGATGAGGCGGCTTCTCACCCTTTGGAGGCTCCTCGTTGCCCGGGTTTCCTTTGTGCTCTGGTGGTGGCTTCTCTCCTTTTCTTGGTGGCTCATCTCCCGGGTGTCCTGGTTCGTGCTCAGGTGGTGGCTTCTCACCCTTGTGAGGCTCATCACCTGGTTTCTGCTCTGGTGGTGGCTTTTGTCCCTTAGGAAGCTCGTTGTGCTCTTGTGGTGGCTTTTGTCCCTTAGGAGGCTCATTGTTCTCTGGTGGAGGCTTTTTCCCCTTTGGAGGCTCATTGTTCTCTGGTGGAGGCTTCTTTCCCTTTGGAGGCTGGTTGTTCTCTGGTGGAGGTTTCTTTCCCTTTGGAGGCTGGTCATTGTGCTCTGGTGGTGGCTTTTGTACCTGGGGAGGCTGGTCATTGCTCTCTGGAGGTGGCTTTTCTCCCTTGGGAAATTGGCCCTCCACCTCTAACAAATGGTGTTCATTGTGGGGTGGCTTGTCAACTGGTGGAGGCTTCTCTCCTCCTTTACCCTTGGGTTGTTGGGTTGGGGGCTTGTGTTCCGGGAATGGCAATGGCTCTTCCTTGTTAAGTTGTGTTGGAGGAGGCTTGTGAATTGGGGGTACGGGAATTTTAGGAGGCTTGGGGTCATGGTTATCAGCAAGAGAAGGAGTTGTGGTGGTGAAAGCCACCACTCCAAGAAGAAACACTAGCAAGTATTTGGAAGACATCTTGGGGCTCTCAGAAGCTTTGGGATGATTTGAACTAGTAGAAGCCAGTGGCTTTTTATAGTGATGGGGGAGCACTGTCGTCATGACACGTGTCGATTTGCATCCGGAATTTTTTAATGAAGTTTGTCGACTCAACGGAGTTTTGCATTGTTGGTACAATTTATAAATGAATTGGGGTCCATTTGGGACCTCAGGAGTGGAAAAGTTTGACAATTTGCCATGTTAATACCTGGTGGGGACCTGGATGAAAGCTTGCACGATCGAGTGTTCACAACTCACATGCACAAATATCAGTGACCTCGCTGCGGCTACTCTAAGCTCACTGGTTATAGATAGTGTTTTAACTTTTAAAAAGACTACGACAAATAGAAAATCATTTATAATAACTTATTTTTGCATGTGTGAGAGAATAACGAAAATATTACTTCTTCTTTTTTGTGCGTAGCTGAGCATAACCAATTTCTTTCTTTCTTTTTTTTTTTTTTTTTTTTGAAAGGAGTGCTTTATTAAAAAAAAAAAAAAAAAAAAAAAACACTAGCATTAAAAACTCAAGCATGAGTGATAGGAACAAATAAGTGATCTTAAAAAAGACTCGCGTCTGAACAACTCAAAAAGAAACAACAAGAAAAGAGAAAGAGGAAGCCTGTTCATACCATGTTTACTAACTAATATATTTTTTTTTTATCAAAATGTTTACCTACTATATTGTAGACCGCTTTTGTAATAGTACGAGATGCTATCAAAAGTAAGCATGCATGCATATATTCTTATTATTTTATGTTATCCAACATGTAGCACCGGATGAAAGCAAGAAACATAAATACTAAGCGCCGTTTGATAATCATTTCAATTTTAGTTTTTAGTTTTCATTTTTTGTGCTAGTATATATGAAAAAGAGGGAGAATAGAAGTGAGAATGAGAGTGAAGATGAGATTGAGAGGGAAGATGAGAAGAGATGATGAGAGAGAGAGGAGTAACAAAAGTGAGAACAAAAACTGAAATCTATTTGACATTATTTTCATTTTTGTTACTCCTCCCTCCCATCCTCTCTCTCAATCTCATCCTAACTCTAATTCTCTCTCATTTTCCTTTGTACTCTAACACAAAAAATGAAAACTAAAAACTAAAATTAAAATTGTTATCAAATGGAACCTAAATTAACTAACTTTCGGCAAAAGCTATTATATTGTTTTCAGTGTACACAACACAGATTTTGTGTTCGTCAGTCCGCAGCTTTTGCTTGATTCTAGTGTCTACTGAGTGGAAAGATGAACGGCTAATTTAGCTCATTTCTTTTTGTTTTTTTAATTAATACTACTAGCTAGCCAGCCCGCAATGGGATTTCTCCTTTTCCCACTTAGGATTTGTATTTAATTGCAACTTGTTAACACGATAGATCATGTAAATTGCTTTCAATTAGAGATGCCATTATAATAAAAACTAAAGTGCCCTTCAGGTTTGGCCAAGAAACACTTGTGCTTGCATGTGCATTTGGTCGGCATGGTGAGAAGAATATGTGAAAGCATGAAATATTTGTATACGAGTACTGTGACTGCCTTCTCTTTTTTGCCTGACAGCCACAAGGTGCGCCAAAATTTTATCACAATCACAGTACCAATGCATGCATGCCGCGTTATTTTGCAGATAATTGATTAGTGGTCCCCTTCATCGGTTGTGCACATATAGCAGTAAAGTCTTACATTATAGGATAAGATCCTTAATTTGTTAATGTCTGCCGACATGTTAATGTGTTATCACTCAGTAATTTTCAAACATCTCGGCTCCATTATTGCCTCGGGACAATGGCGCAGGAACCCTAGCGCTTTAGGATGGTTCCTTAACTTTAAGCATTCCGATTTTCATAATTAATACATTTTGAGATTTTCTCATATTTCATGATGAATTTCAGTTTCTTTCTTTTGAGGCTTACACGCGCTATGTCACTTTATTTATTTTGAAGAAGAAAAAAGTAATTGAGACCCCACTTGTGTATTATTTTCAATGTACGAGGCCCATAATGGAAGGCAATAATACTGTGAAAGAAGTTGTTTTTAGGCGTCCAGAAGGTACATAACAAAGTTGCTTTATGAGTAAATGAACCCTATGTTGCATTCACACTTTCCAGAAAACTGACAATGGAAGTTCTTAACTTTTGGAAAACGGGACTGGGAAACTTTTGAGCAGTGTAGGTGGGAAAGTCCTTCTGAAGTCAATCAATTCTTGAGATTGAAAAGAATCTACTGACCCCCATATGATTTGTATGAGAAATTGCATAATCGTTTAGGAACAGAAAACATCTCCACGGTCTAAAATGTATTTGTCAGTGCTCAAAAGTCGTATATGTTTGCTTTAGTTTTGACAAGTATAAAGAGTTGTGGAAACACAAAACCGCCTACCAAAGAAATTATGGATCACCCATTTTTGTGATCAAGGAAAAAGAACTTCATTAGAACTAAACAATACAACCAAAATAACTAGTCTTTGTTGATGTAATGACGTGGTTTCGTTAAAATCTTACCTTAAAAGAAATTGTATGAATCCACAAACAAAGCTACATTCATTGATCCCACATTCTAATTTTTATCTAAATTGTCGTTTACAACTGGATCTTGCAATTACGTCCACAAACAAAATCCCATTGATTGAGATAGAACTTCTTGAATTGTCGTTTTACCACTGGATCTTGGAATTACGTCCCCATACATAAAAACAACCAGACTGGGCTTCATATCCATCGGTCCAATAGGTAATAGACCTGTACATCCAAATTCTATCATATTATCAATTGCTTTAAACCTGGAGTCTTTAATATTAATTGTGAGAAAAGGAACGAAGTTTTGATAGTTAGTAATTTTCTCCTTATTATATTGGAATGAACTCATAATTTTCTTCCTCGTCACATCCAAAAACTACTATTGGTTAAGAGATAAACCATCATATGCTCTTTGTGGTTACTTTTTTATTATTTATTTTTAATATTATAGATAGTCTAAATTACAAGAGGAACGAGACTTTTCAAACACACTACTAAAGTGTTGTGGAGTTCAAACCTCAGACTATTCGTCTGCAAATCAAATCCATTTTTTATTAGCCTAGATCCCGTTGACCTGTCTGTGATTAACTTTGTTTCTCATGATTAACTAAATAATATTAACTTCATCAATCAACCGCTCCAGGTGCAACTTCTGCTAAGTGTCTAACTTTGTGGCGCAGTGGGCTCCAAAATGACCCCATCAGATTAATTTATAGGTGACCCAAGAACAAATTATGGTTGGCGTGTAGTGCTCCAGTTTTGCTCCCCCAGAAACATAAAATATATAGCTCTGCCCTTCAAACAGCCCAATTACCAACTTCCATATATACATTGAGTTCAACAACAACCCAAAAACCAAAATAATAATTAAGATGTGCAAAGAAAGTTATTAACCAAAACTGATATCTCACATTGAATTGTATCACAAACTAGATCAATAACCACGTAAATATTTTTGGTTTTATGGTTATTGTGATCTTAAATTTCCATCTTCGCTATCGAATCATGTTTGGCATCAACAGATTCAATACTGGTTTAAGTGTGAGTCTAAATATTTATATAGTTGGGATAACTAGTGAAAATGAGTTCACAATATCCATCCTTAAATATAAAGGAATTGAAGATTTTACACTTTGAGGATTATTCGTCAGCTTGTGTAGAAAAGCATATGCTAAATAGTAGCTCGAAGTAGAGGTGTTAAACGGGTTGGGCTGCTGCTTGAGCACACCATGAGTCTGGTCCAATTAAATAAAACCCGATACAATATGATCCGTATTTTTAGATAAATTAAAATGACGTAATTCAGTTCACTGGGCCGAGCCAGCTAGAGACCCCTCATGGGTCGTGCTGGCCCCAAGCCCAATGGGCCGGCCCATTTAAATTTGACAATGGAACCCTCAAACTTCTACAGCGACGAATACGGGTTTCAACAGAAAAAAAAAAAAAATCCGCAATCTTATTGCCTATGAGCAGTGTTAGTTAAATGATCATTACATCACCAATTATGTCTGTCATGGACTAACTGGTCAACACTGTGACAGATGTGGAATTGTTTCCCAAGAGTGGAATCCTTGAATCTAACCTACTAGATAGCGAAAAACAGCAAAATTTATTAAGTCCTTGACTTCGGCGTTATTCAATTCAGTAGAAGTCTTATTTCGCCAATCTTTGCAACGAACTGAATAACTACTAAAAAAAGCATTTGGCAACCATTGGAAGTAGAGGTGTCAAACAGATCGGGCCGGCCTGAGCAAGTATAAATTTGGGCCGATTGTGTACAAGATGACTAGTATTTTTGGGCGAGTCATTATTATATTTGTGTATTAAATTCAAGTATGTTTCTTTTTTCTAATAGTATATTTTAAAATACAATGTTTTCTTTATAAATAAAATAATTTTTTTTATTTTTCAATTTTTTAAACCCGAATAATAATCTATTTATTTTCTATTTTAATGTACTTCAAATAAAGTCATTGGCCTCTTTTTTTAATAAATAATAAATCTTGTTAGTATATACATAATTATAAAAAAAAGAAAAATGTAAATAAAATTGACAACAAATGCAATTGACACCTCAATCTCAAATATAACAAACAAAAGGAGAGTATAAATGGCTGATCAACTTGGCGAAATAGCTAGGGATAAAAAGGGGAGTTAAACTTAATTAGGTAGCAAAATGAAACTTGGCAACGATAACAATAATAAAAAAGGAAAAGGGGGAAGGAAGGATGCAATAAGTTAGAAAACACAAAGAAAAAGCTAACACTAATTTATTCAAAAAGTATAAGGAAAAAGTTAAAAATACAAGGAACCCAATAGTCACAGAGAAGGTTCATTTTCAAGGAATGTGAAAATGATACTTAGGCGAAAGGGATAAATTTAAACTATAATCAGAGTATAAAAGGATAGAATAAATACAGTGTTCTTGAATAATATACGACTAGTCAGCAACTAATCACGGACCTGAGATTACAATGCACAAACCACACACATAAAACAAACAACTATCAAGGCCCTGCAAACATAGAAGAAAACTAAGTGACAATCTAAGCACTTAGAAGGATCCTTTAATCTAGGCATTTTATATACTAGCAACAACTATGGTGATATGTGTGTCAGCATCCATTAAATCAGAAATAAGAATGAATAACAATAGATGATTAGGTAGCAAAATGAAATAGATAGGGATAAAAAGGGGAAGGGGCTAAACTTAATTAGGTAGCAAAATGAAACTTGGGCAACGATAACAATAATAAAAAAGGAAAAGGGGTGGAGGAAGGAAATAATAAGTTAGAAAAGGCAAAGAAAAAGCTAACACTAATATATTCAAAAAGTATAGGGAAAAAGGAAAAAAAAAACGAAAGGAACCCAAAAAGATATCTGTTTTGTAAAGAGGTTCCCTTAAAAGAAAGCCGATTGCCATATTATACATAATTAAGAGGTAGAATTTGGTTGTCGACATGCTTATAATATTAACTTTATCCATAAAACTTTACCAAAAGGTGGATATACCATCCGGTTAATGCAGGAAATTAATGAAAATTAAGAGTAATTGATCCTATTTGCGATTATATTGTCTTAGTTTTGTACCTATCTAATTTGCAATTACGTGTTGATGTAAAACTCAAATTGATGCACCATACGTTGTAGATAGACCAGATATTAATAGACCATATACGTGTTTATCTTTTTTCCCAGGGTCATGATGCTAGATCTGTATCCTTGATTGTTCGTCAATCCCATGGTCTTTTGCAAATGGAGAAGAAAGACCACTGCGTAGAAATTAAGAGAAGCTCTCATCCTTGGTGCTTATAATTAAAAAGAAGTGTTAGGGTCATCAAGATTGTTGACAAGTTCATATGATTTGTTAGTGTTTCATTTTCAAATATAACTTTTTATATGTAAAGGACTTGTATCTCAAGTGGTTAAGAGCAGTTACTCTACACTATTAAGGTCCTGTATTCGAACTCCTCCCTTAATATTTTAGTTGCGACAATAGAAAAAGTGAGAATCGAACACACAACAAATGAAAGGATAAATACTCTTAATTACTTTATTCACAAATTCCTTACAATTCCACCTAATGGTCCAACTTTTCAACTCGATTGGTGGGCTACAAATGGTCCTATCACTCTATAATTTCTGTATCTGTAACTTTCCCAAGAGAATTTACAAACTTTAGTCTATATAGAAATTAAGTGCACAAAGACAAGTGTCCTGACAGTATAGGCCTCCAGTCCTATAAAAGGGCACACACTTACACCAATTTTGTACCATCCACTGTCCACAATATCACTCACTAGCTATACCTTAACAAAAATGTCTCCCACATTCCTGCTGGTGGTGTTCCTGGGTGTGCTGCTTCTCACCACTTGTTCTCTTGCTGATCATGATCACCATAAACCTCCACATAAGCCACCTCCTTTGGGTCCGAGACCACCACACAAGCCCCCTCCTTTGGGTCCGAGACCACCCCCAAAGCACAAGCTGCCAACACCGCTTGATAATGAGGCAGCAGTGCCATTGAAGGACGTCGAAGCCTTGTACAAGCCTCCAGGGAAGAAACCACCACATAGCCCGTACAAGCCACCCTACAAACCTCCTCCATCAAACTAAGCGCATGCATGCCTAGCTAACTAATTATATGTAGCTAGCTAGGTTAATATACATGGATGCGTATAAAAATAAGAGCTGCATCTGCATGCATGATGATGTAATATTACCCTTTTATTAGCCTTATTTTACAACTACCGCTACAGGTAGCTTGAGTTATTCATGCTCGAGCCCGTTTGTTGTTGTTATGCACTTGTATTTACTTGCTAGTCATCAGGGACGGACCAGGCTTGGCTAACCTGGGCTACAGCCCAGGTGGCTTTTTCTTTTTCCAGCTCATAAAAAAATTATAGCCCAGTCGGTGATCTATTATGTTGCTATCTTATTTCCATTTTCAGCGTTTAAGTAACTGTCTTTCTCCTTTTACTTTCCTTTATTTTTATATTACTCCATTTACTTAAGTTTACAATGTAAATAAGGAAGTACCCTCCATTTGGATTCAAATAAAAATATACTAAAAAATCAAATTCCCACCAAATCAAAATATGAAAAATCGGTTTTAGTACAAAATAATATTTAGGCTAAAAATGATGGCTCGCTCATTAAGTCAATATATACTTCATACTAAAATCCCATAAAATCAAGTTTTCTTATTTGATGTGTAAGGAATAAAAGCTGCCAAAAATTATCTTGAGAAAATGATTATTCTAAAAAACTATTTTTTATACTTAGCCAATATTTTTACATAAAACAATTTTTCATGTATTATTATTTATTGTTATCAATGAAATTACATTATACGGTCGAGTTTTCTATCTACTTAGTATGTTTAAATGTAAGTTAAATTTAGCTAAGTCAAGTTTGAAATCTTGGGTCCGTCCCTGCTAGTCATGAGGTGAAATTTTGAAAGGTTAAAAGCTTTATTAAAAAAATTGAATAATTTTTTTTTATAATTGATCATACCTCTAATCGTGTCAAATTTAGGCCCCGTTTGGGATTGCTTTTTTTTGCCAAAAACCTGCTTCACTTTAAAGTTAAGCAGTTTAAGGTGTTTGGTAAAAAAAAAATATCCCGATTATTTTAAAAGCGATGACCTTTTGACAGCAGCTTTTAAAAGCAGACTCTAGGTTGCTTTTCAAAGCTGCTTTCAAAAGAAGCAGATATGAACATTTAATAAATTTTTTAAATTCCCAAAATACCATCATTCATTTTAAAAAATAACACCACCCCCACTTTCACATCCAACACCACCTCCTCCTTCACCTCCACCTCCACCTCCACAACCACCACCTCCTCCAAAACCTCCAAATCCACCACCACCTCCACAACCAACATCACCACCACCACCACATCCTCCGCCACCACCACCTCATCCATCACCTCCACCACCACCTCCTCCTCCTCCACAACCACCATCCCCTCCACCACCAACTCCACCTTCATTACCACCACCACCTCCACTCCATCACTACAACTACCACCACGCTGCCACTGCCACCACCACCACCACCACCTCCACAACCGCCATCCCCACCACCACCAACTCCACCTTCATCACCACCACCACCTCCATTCCATCACTACAACTACCACCACATGATTAATACATAACACTTTTAACATCATGTCTATTTTAGTCATTATTCACAGTTACAACAATTTTATATTAAAATTTACCAAACGCTTTTACACTGCTTTTTGTACTAACAGCACTTTAAAAATATTGTTTACCAAACATGGAGCTGCTTTACTTTACAGCTAATTATTTTCAAAGCACAGCAGAAGCAACTTTTTTTAAAAGTGACAG